AGACCGAGCGCCCGCCTGCGAGGCAAAGCCGTCCTTATACTGACACCACATGTCTTCGGGGAAAGCTGCAGGCGCGGGACGGGGGGAGGCGTGCAGGCGACAGACTGACGGCGGCGGCGGCCCCCTGCCCAGAGCACGGCAGTCCCCGGCCTTGGGGTCACCTCCTTCAAATTCAGGGTCATGCCTGGGGTGGAGAAGGTCCTGACCCCTCAGCCTGGGCACTGCGTCATGCTAGCGTGGGACCCCATTGACGACCGATCCATGTGCGGGTGCCTAGTTGGTTTAGTCCCACCGGATCCTCACAGAGATGAAGGGAGGTGAAGCCATGAGGGCCGCGGTCCCTCCCCGCCCCCAGTGAGGATCCGATTGAGTCCTAAAGGGTGGGGCTGAGCCAGGACCCCACTCCAAGGGCCCCTCTGCATCCAAGCTGCCTCCTCACTCCTCATTCACACCCCTGCTTCCTCCCAGCTTCAAGGTTTGGCTGAAAGGTCGCCTCCTCCAGGGAGGTTCCCTGGAGGGCCCCCAGATGGGCCACATGCCCTGGGTCCCGCTGCCAAGGCCTCAGGCAGCCTCACCACTCCCCTGGGCAGCCCTGCACAGGCGCCCACAGGCCAGGCTTCTCCAGGATACCGGTACCACCTCGGCGTCTCCACACAACTCCCTCCCTCCCTTTCTCCCTCCTGGGCTAAGGGTTGAGGGGAGGGACGTGTCCAAGGTTATGATTCCCTTGTTTGTATCCAGTCAGACAAATTAAAGGCATCAAGATCCTCCCAAATGCGGGTCAACCGCTGCTCAAGCTCCTGCAGTCAGGACCCATTTAATGAGCCTCTTCCACATGCTGGGCAGCTGCTGGGGTCCACCTTTGTGCTTCCATTTTACCGAGGGAAACTGAGGGCACAGGTGAGCAGCTGGCCAAGGTTCCTCATTCCTCATCAGGGAAGCCACAGCCCCAAGTACGAATTGAGCGCTCCCCATCCCCACCCAGGTGTCTTCTCCACACTCGGCCGCCCACTCAGCCCTCTCACCTCATTGGAGAATGAGATGGGGACTCATCAAGGGGTTGCAGCCAGAGGGAAAGGGTGCTGAGGCAGTTTTGGGGCCACCTGTCCTGGCAGACAGGCACAGCTTTAGGGTAAGGTGCTCTCAGGTTTGACCCCGGCCCTGTCACTTCCAGACTGAGGGTGGTGAGCAAGCCCCAGACCATCGCTGAGCCTAGGGCCCCTCATATGTGAAAGCAGGATTGAAAGTTTGCACTTCCCAGCAGGCAAAGTCTCTAAAGGGTTCAGCACAGTGCCTGGCACATAGTTACTCAACAAATCCTAATCCTCACCTGCCTTATCATCCATCTAGGGAGACGAGCCTTTGTAAAGAGACCAGCATGCAAGGTTGGGCTGAACTACAGGGTGTCCTACAGGTATGAAGGGAGCAGACCAAATAGTCCCCAGGGGAGTGGATTGATTCCAGATCACAGTGGGCTTTGAGAGGCCTCATCAAAGTGAGTCACTTGAACTCAGCCTTGAAGGCTCCTATGGTTGAGTAAGAGGGGAGGAGGTGGTAGAACAGTGGCATGGAGGAGGGAGAGGCAGAAGGCAAAAGCAGGACAGGTACAACCATTCCCAACAGCTGGATACACAGCTGGAAAGCCCCAGGCCTGGAAGGTGAAAGAAATCAGGCTGCAGGGCAGGGGAAGGTATTAGCTACCATTCACTTTCTCTCCATTCTCCTTTGGCTATGTTCTCATGAAATTCACAAGGCTCTTCAGGACCTGGAGAAGCCACCAGACGGTGAGGTCTCAAGTCTGGGCTCCTGAAGGGGAGTGGCTGTCCTGCCCCCTGCCTGCATTATCAGGGTGACGCAGGGTTCACCTCCTATGGGGTGGTTCCTTTGCTCTCTGGGCATCTCTGATCATTCAGACTCGTTTGTACTTGAGCAGAAATTTGCCCCCTTCCATAATCCTAGCCTTTTCCCCACCACCACCTCCCTCGAGCATCCACAATGGCAGGAAGTCCTGCTTTAGGCTAAGTGCTTTATGCCTTAGCAAACGCCTTAGCTGTCTGCTCTGTCCACCCTCCCTACCCCCAGAACAGTGAGTGTGTCCTGGGGATGCAGAAGCTTCGGAATAAATGACATGCCGAGGACAACGTGGAGATAAAAGGACTGTCAAGCCCACTTGAGGGACAGGAGTGGGACTCCATGTCTCAGCATGCAGCATGGCTGGGCTGTCCCCCCTAGAAGCCCTGGCTGTCTGCAGCAGCTTCATTTATTCATTATTGCTATTTATGTTGTGCCTGGTATTTGCAGAAGGCTGCACCGGCCACCTGCACAGGCTCCCTGGGCCCTGTGTGCCCGGGTATCAGGAGTGGGTAAGTGGTTCTCGGCCCAGAAACCCTGCATGCACCCCCCAGCAGCTCTGCTGGCCCTGTCACCTTCCAGCTCTGGACAAGGCCCAGGGCTGTACCCCAGCAGCTGCAGGGAAGAACAGTGGAGCTCCCCCAACCCGCAAAACTTTGTTGTAATTGTAGTGGCTGGCAGGCAGACAGCATCAGCCACGGGTGATAAATAAAACAAGCTAGGGTTAGAGAAAGCTAGAGAAGGATTTCTGCCCAACCTGGGATGTGCGGTCAGGTCTCTTCCAGGCCTCCAGACCCCAAAGAAGAGCACAACATCCTCACTGATTTATTTCTCAAAGGCTTGCAGATCATTTTCTGTGCCTGACCTTTGTGTAAACCCTCAACAAATATTAACACTTTCAATCCTTATCATAATCTTATGCTGCTTCTGTTTTATAGATGAGGAACCATTGGCACAGAGAGGCTAAGTAACTCCTCAAGGTGACACAGCTAATCAGTGACAGAGCTAGGATTTGAATTCAGATGGTCTTGCCCTTAACTCGGATTCTGGCTGCCAAGACTCAAAAGCTGTAGGAGTCAAGGTTTGCAGTCCAAACTGAGAGTGGTTCCACCAACTGAAGGGGAGAGAAGCCTGATCAAGATACCCTCCTGTGGGCCACCAGTCCCATCAGAGCACCATCCTCTGGGGCGTGCACAGCAGTCATTCGCACCAGCCCTGCTGGGGCCCCAGGTCCCTGATTGTCCTTTGAGCAGCACTATGCCCTGAACACCCACCATCCAGGCGGGACAGGAGCTCTGGTCCCCAGGTAGCCCCGCCCAGGTGGGAGATGAGGACCTGAGAACCCAGGAAGCCAACTTGGACACTCCCATAGCGTTTGCTGGGCACCTGCCAGGTGCCAGGCACATGCCAGGGCTGGAGGTTCCCACACGGAAAAGTCTGGGTGAAGCCGGAGGTTTGGAGTGGGATGCAGAGGAGGCCAGGCCAGGTGCTGGGGTTCCCAGGTATGACAGGGCAGGCTGAACCCTGATACCTGCAGGCACCTTGATGGACTTGGAGAGACCCAGAGACCCCAGAGCCCAGTCTGGTGGGCAATGGCTGGAGCGCTGTGCATCGTGCAGAGTGAAGAACTGGAAGGATCAAAGGGAAGTAAGTGGAGAGTGATAGAGGACCATCAGGGAGACTTCAAGATGCAGCGGCTGGGTGCCACAGACTGGGCGACACACTTGGAGAGCATCCCCCTGAAGGGGCAAGGACCTCAACATAAAGTCATTTGCACGTCTGCAGTTAGGTCCCTTCCCTTCCATGTTCCCAAGCAAGTCCACCGAACACCCAGGGGCTCTGTGCCACAAGGGTTTCCTATGTGTGGTGCCCGGCAAGGAGATGAGTCTCCCTCAGAGTGCCACAGACAAGGACAGCCCCAACCACACCCAGCCAGCAGAGGCAAAGGTGCAAGCCAGGGGGCCCAGGACAGCACTGGCATCCCCAGGGCCGCCACATGCACAGGGATCACATTCAGGCGGGCAGGATGAAGTGTGACTGGCGTGTCTGGCAGGGACCCCTCCTCCCCGCTGGCGGGTGCTCACTTGCTACTTTCACCCACTTAACTTCCCAACCGTCCAAGGCGATGGGGTTGTGAACCTCCCCTTATGGCCCAGAGAGCCAGAATCTGGAGAACTCAAGTGAATTGTCCAGGTTCACGTTGCTAATGAGCAGAAACAGAAGTCTGTGCTGAAGTGAGCAAGGAGAGCGCGGAGGAGAGGGAGAGAGAAAGATCTCCCACCTGCCCAGGATGCCCAGGACAGAAGGCTGGAAGCAGAGAAAGGGCAGATGGGGTCAGAAGTCGGGAACCTCAGGTCCCCCCGGGTGGGCGGTCCCTGGCCGTCCTCCAGAAGAGGCAGTGAGGGTGCTAGAAGCTTCCTAGATGGGTAGGGCCCAACGCTTCCCGGGTAGACACATCTGGAAAGGGCTGCTTGATGCCCCGACAGTCTGCAGCTGGTGAACGGGGTGGCAGTGTGCCTGTCAGAGAGGAGAGCCCAGGGGAGCATTGCCCAGACCCCCATCCTGGCAGAAACACCAGAAGCCCCTCTCATCTGTCACCTGACAGTCGGCACACCAACTGCTTTGTGGCTGTC